AGAAAATGGAAACTACTATATAGTATATTAGGGTTATAGAGGGATAATGGAAAAGAAAATGGAAACTACTATATAGTATATTAGGGTTATAGAGGGATAATGGAAAAGAAAATGGAAACTATTGTATAGTATATTAGGGTTATATAGGGATAATGGAAAAGAAAATGGAAACTACGATATAGTATATTGGAGTTCCATAGGGATAACGGAAAAGAAAATGGAAACTACTATATAATATATTAGGGTTATAGAGGGATAATGGAAAAGAAAATGGAAACTACTATATAATATATCAGGGTTATAGAGGGATAATGGAAAAGAAAAATGGAAACTACTATATAGTATATTAGGGTTATATAGGCATAATGGAAAAGAAAATGGAAACTATTGTATAGTATATTAGGGTTATATAGGCCCCTAAACCCTAAACCCTATATATATATATATATGTCCTAAGTTCCTGAGGCCGATGCTTTGCCATTGCCTTGGAGTGAAGTAGGTGGCCATTTTTTACAACATAGGAGCGAGGACGAACCTAAGCGTTTGTCGACATTAGGTGATTAACTGGGTTTAGGGTTTAAGGTTTTAGGGTTTAGGGCTAGGGTTTAGGGTTTAGGGCCCTAATAGGGAGGACCCTTACCTTTTCTAAAGCTACACAACTTGACCGTCGATGAAGCTCCAGTTTTCTAAGTCAGGCGACAGACGTTGGCCACCACCCGACCTTTGCGCCCCGGCTCGGGGTTATTACTCGGTGTTGGCGAGTCAGGGTTTGGGGCCTCCGTTTAGGTTATATTTAGGTTATAGGCTTGCGGCATAGGATTTTGGGCTTTGTGGCTTAGGATGCAGGATCTGGGTTTCAGTCGTTATCCATGAGAGGATGTGCTGTGTTGGTGTGGCTGGAGCTTCATTCATGAGCACTCAGAAGCAGATTCATTCTTACCCAAGAAAACCGATCCGGAGTGTCGACTGGAGGCCCTGTTGAACAATTCAACCTTGGAGTCTTGGAGCCTTACCCCATGCTCCAGGGCTCCATGTAGGCAGGAACTACAGATTTAGAGCCCCAGGCATATGACCTTTGCACAATGCCGCGAGATGGCCCAACTACTCGGAGTCTCATATCAAGCGGCTGCATAGCTTTTACAAGCAGCTATGCATCGTACGGCCCTTAGTGTCTTGGGATGCCAAAGCGGGAACACAATTTTGGAATTTACCCTCATCGTTTGTTTCATGCCATCTGAGGCCCAACATGCTGGAAGCAGACAGACGAGGAGATCATCATTTATTGTAACCATGGCATGGGTTAGGGTATAGGGTATAGGCTTCAGACATTGGGATTTGCAAGCAGAGCTTGGGGTTTTATAGGACCAACGGATTTAACGTTTAGATCTAGCCAGTAGCCCGCTTGAGTATTTCAGCATTCTTCACATGATGCTGAGGAGGATGGGTACTGCAGGAATAAGTAACCAACAATCTGGAACACTAAACCCTAAACCCAACCTAAACTCTTCATAGCTTGGAGGTCCCAGGGTGGTTTGAAGTAGGGCTCCACTTGCTCCAAAGAGGGGGTATCAAACAAGGCCTGAGGGGGTTTAGGGTTTAGGGTTTTAGGCCGATCTTGTATGACTCCAAGTACCGTAAACTATTGGATCATGGTGATCTAGTATACTGAGGTCATGTAGCTTGCTGTCCGCTCACCATATTTTTCCAGCCGGTGGCCTCAACCCTATTGCCCGCATTCAGCTCCTAAAGCCCCAACATCCCAACCGTATAATCCCTTCTCCTTATGATACACCTGTCCTAGCATCTAAACATAGATATTCTCAGAATACAGTGGTAGTATGTTCAGGGTATTTGGTATTAGGGGTGTGGAGGTTGTTATTAGGAGAACAGGTTAAAACAAACCCTTGCAAAATCTTTCACCCCCGATACACTTCCTGTAGTTCCCATAGCCAATACGCAAGCCCTGATTCCACGCAGTCTCTGAAGATTGAATGAGCTAGCAAGGAGTGGGACGTTCTCTACGAGGCCAAGCAGATCTTTTCGGAGCGACGGGGAGGAGGCTGGATGCACGTGAGGAGGGAGTCGTGAGGAGTACTTTGAAGGATACTAGAGTCCCCCAAAACAGGCTCTGATTATGTCCTCCTTTTGGGCATCGTATTTGTTGGACGAATATAATCTTTCCTTATAGTATTCAGCCATCAAAATGTTTGCGGGAAGGCAGGGAGTATATCCTACACCCCAAAGTTCCTTCAAGGGGTCTCAAGGTCACAAGTGTCCTAACCCCCCCCCAAACCCTAAACCTTGAACCCTAAACCCCAACTTTACAGTCATTTTCTCGCCGAAGGTGCCCACAAAAAAGCATGGAAAATGGAAGCTGCCATATTATACTGGGGTGCTGAATTGAATTGAACCGGGTTATATGGGGATAATGGAAAAGAAAATGGAAACTACTATAGGGATGAAATGCTGTATCAGCGCCGAAGCAGGAAAGACATGACCGAAAGCCACATGAAAGCCTTTGATGCAGAAATGTTGAACGACCAGAGAGCAGGAGAAGAAGTTGCAGCCTTCACTCGGGACAACCCTCCCGAGATGCACCGCAAGGGTTTAGTGGACTTCAGGAAGCACCAATTTCCGGCAAAGCCTGTGCGAACCGGGAACTGTGGCAAAGCCCCCTGAGCCAGACACCCAGGTCTCAGCACCCTCATTGTTGCAAACTCAATGACATCCCCTTTTCATCCTCACATCCTGAACCCTATATCCCAAAACACTAAACCCTAATCCCTAGTCCCAAAACCCCGAACCCAAATCCCTAAACCCCAAACCCAGGAAAAAAGCGCGTTGACAGAAACAAACAAAAGCCTAATCCCAAACATAACTATAATCTCAACCCGGACCCTGGCGGCAGCTTTAATTCTGATGTGACTCCACATCCCTAAGGTTTCAAGATTCCTAGTAGCCAACATTCATATGAGCTATAGTCTAAACTCCTTACAGGAGGATGATATGGGATTACTCCTTGA